CTGCTATTTGAGGATATAAGCTACTTAACAAACCAGGAAAGAGATCCTTATCCATGAACTCAGTAGGCCTGGCACCCTGATCTCAGGAGTCCCAACCTCTAAATTGTGCGAAATAATGTCTGTTGTTTAAGCATTCAGTCTATGGCACTGTTGCTGTTATAGCAGCCCAAGCAGACTATTACAACTTTCTTCTTTTACAATACAGTTTTTATTTTAGATCTTAAATATGCGGGAAATAATGGGTATTTGTATGAATATGCTGAGATTTGGTAAACTCTAAAATGAATACGTGAATTAAAAATTTTTTACTAAGCAAATCATTTTTGAAATATTTTCCATATAGCTCTTATAAAATAGTATAGAAAAATGCTTATTCTAAGCCTTTATCAAGTCCATACTGAACAACATTAAAATATTCTCAGATAAAAATGTGGTAAACAGCATATATAATTATATACAATGCTTCAGAGTCAAATGGTTTATCAGGATGACATAAAATAAAATGCTGAGGAAAATATACTCACATGCCAAGCGCCACCAGGTGGACCTTTACCAAGAACTAAATGTGGGATATAATGATGTTGTTCTAATTTCCAGTGCAAAACAGATGGATAATCATATCCAAAGTCAGCATCTGGATGAAGAAGTGTGTCGAAAAGTACTGCAACTGGATTGGATGATCGGCCCTCAAGCCCTCAGACAAGTATTCTAAGTCCTGAATGAATTTTTTAAAAAGAAAGGGGAAAAAAATGTTTAAAAACAGCTATCATAATAGTGAAGACAGCAACTCTAACTCAGCATTTCCCATATTGTATGCTATAGCACACTGATGTTCCTTAAAATCTTAATAGATTCTGAGCCTCCCCGGTGGCATAGCGGTTGAGTGCTGGGTTGTGAAGCTGACCGCGGCCTATGCAGCGCCGGTTTGATCCCCGGCCACTGAGTGAGGTCCGACAAGGTGCGCAGACCTCTCCTGCTGCCCGCTGCTCCCCTCAGCAGTGTATTTCGTCAGTCTGCCTGTTCTGCTCTCCTCTCTGTCTCTGGTGAATTCTCTCACCCTCCCACGCTTCTGACTGTACCCAGTGCTTGTATAAATAAATAAATAAATAAATCTTTAAAAAAAAAAAATTTAATAGATTCTTTAGTAAAAAAAAAAAATGAAAAAGGGTTGGGTTTTAACAAAGCTAATCAGATCCTTTAATGAAGAAACTTGATATGGGTCTCCCTGATGGCGCAAGGGGTTAAGTGCCACACTATGAAGCAATCCACAGTCTCTGCAACACAAGTTCGATCCCCTGCCAGCCAGGGAGCAACCCACATGGCGCAGCAGACCTTTCTTATCTCGCCCAATGCTCCCCTCAGCAGTGTACTTCAGTCAATCTGCCTGTTCTGTTCCCCACTCTTGTCTCTGGTGACTCCTCTCACCCCCTGCATCTGTGGCCTGTACCCCAGCTCTTCTATGTATAAATAAATATTTAAAAAAAAGAAAAGAAACTTGATATGCCTTTAATATGCTAATATCTACTATACATTCCAACAGTAAGAAGCAGCACACTTTCCAAACTTATTGGAGCATCTATCACACCAATTAAAATTATCAGGAAATAATCTGAGAAATTCCCCTCTGGTCAAATCAGAAAAATAAATAGAAATAACTCAACAGAAATACTTACAGATCTAAATGAAAGCAACAGAAAGTATCATTTAAAAGAAAGGATTTTCAACTAAGAAATATGTTTATATATGTAGAAACATATATGTTTATATATGGTTCAGCATTAAAAAATTCAAAGAACTGACATGTAAGAAATAATACCTGGTCAACAATGGAAAGATGTCTTGCTTCTTCTAATTTACTATGTAAGATTGTATTGGGATGTATTGCTTCTGAAGACAAATATGGTCTGTAGCCAGACAACATATAAGAAAGGCATATTCCTGAGGGTCCATTTCCTATGGGGGGAAAAAAAAAATTGGTAGGAGTGTGCCATGTGTCTTAATACTCTTGTTCTTTGGTTTTTCTTCTATACAGATGGCTCTTCTCCCTCACCAATTTCTTCCTTCTATAAACTCTTAAAAGTATTCCCAAGATTTAGACCTTTGCCTTCTCTCCTGTTTTATGGGAGCTGAGGAGAGTCTTGTCTGTGCAAACTTCAACTCTCTATGCTCTGACTCCCAAAATTAGATCTTGAGGCCCACCTCTTCTTCAAAACTGTATCCTACATTTCCATATGCTACTTCTTCACTCCTCCTAACAGACCCATTGATAATCATTTAGATGCCCTTTCCTTTAAACCCCATCCCTTCTCAAGTATGGTATTAGCAAAATCTTCTCCAAGTATGGTAATCAAGTTCTGTTTCTAAACCTATTTTGTCACCTATACCCAGCAGACTGTCTTTCTTGCTCCTGTACACTCACCTGGAGATAAAAGTCTCTTCCTGTTTCTCCCTCTTAAAATTTACTTACTCCAAAATCCTTCCTATTTCTGCATTCAGATGAGTTTGATAACACAATTCATATTAGCCCCTCTATACTACCTGCTGTTATCCATGTTTTGGTCTTAATTAACTCTGTAGTCTCATTTCCTAATATTACCTATTGCTATGTTTTATATACTTTAACTATGTTTTATATACTCCAACTGGATCATTTCTTGAAGCCCAATGTACTACTTCCATTTCTGTAGTTCTTTACTTCCATCTTTCAAAAATTTAATCCACTGGAACAACTGCAAAGCCATCAGGGAAAAAAAAATCCTGTTTCTTGGGGCCTCCCTGGTGGCGCAGGGGTTAAAGTCAGCGCTATCAAGCTATCCCCAGCCACTGCAGCATGAGTTCAATCCCCGTCCAGGGAGTTAACCCATAAGGCGCAGCAAACCTCTCCTGTCTCACCTGCTGCTCCCCTCAGCAGAGTATTTCAGTAGATTCACCTGTTCTGCTCCCCACTCTGTCTGTGGCAAATCCTCTCACCACACCCCCACACCTCTGGCCTACACCCCAGTTCTTGTATGCATAAATAAAAAAAAAAAATTCTGTTTCTTGGCTAATGTTTTTCCCCAAATAAGCACAAAGTAAAACCATAAGAATATTAGAAAAGTTCATAATATTTCTGCTCATGCTGGAGTAGGAAGTCTTTAAGCATGACATAAGACTCCAAAGAAAGGAAAATAAACCACCTGACCCCATTAAAGTTCAAAGCAAATGACAAAGAATGGGAATTAGGATCTGAACCAAAGAGCAAATTTTCTTGAATGAAAAAAGACAAAACTGAAGAAAAAAAATAATATAACATTGACAGACACATAAAAAAGCGCAAGGCAAAATTCTAGCACCTATTCACAATAAAATCTTTCAGCAAACTAGAAAGAGAAACTTCCTCAACGTGATGGCGTATCTACAAAAAAATCTACATTTAATATCTTACTTAATGGCAAGAAACTGAGTGCTTTCGTAGTAACATTTAAGAACAAAACAAGAATGTCTCTTCTTACCCTTCCCAATTCATACCATAATGGAAATTCTAACGAATGCAGTAAAACAAGAAAAGGAAATAAACAGTATACAGACAGAATAAAATTGTAAATGACATGATTATATAGAAAATGCTAAAGAGCTGACAAAAAAAATATACTGGAACTAATAAGCAATTACAACAAAAATGCAGGATAAAAATTTTAGTATATAAAAAGTTATTGCTTTTCTATATAACAGTAAGGTGCACATGGAATTTGAAATACACAACTTCTTATTTGTAAAAAAGGAATTCTTAAGTATAAGTCTAAAAATTGCCAAAATACATGTAGATCTATATGAGGAGGAAAATAAAGATCTGATGAAAGAAATAAAATAAAATCTAAATAGATGGAACATGTATATTCATACTGGCTTTTCTCAATCAAGGTGTCCTTCAATAAATTAATGGTTGAATGGATAAATAAAGTGAAATATCCAAAAAATGGAATATTGAGTGATAAAAAGATATTAGCTCTGATGAAAAGACAGAGCTAATTTAAATACATAGAGCTAAATTAAAATACATATTGCTAAGTCAAAGAAAGTCTAAAAAGGTTCCATATTGTAAAAGTCCATTTATATGACATTCTGAAAAAGGCAAAACTATAGGGCCAGTAAAAGGTCAGTGATTGCCATTGATTGGGGACTGAATGAGGGAAAGGAAGATTAGGTTGAACACAGGAGATTTTAGGGCAGTGAAATTATTCTGTATGATAGTGTATTGGATATATGACATGCATTCAGCAAATTCCACAAAACTGTATCACATACAGAATGAGTCCTAATGCACATTATAGATTTTAGTTAATAATATACCAATATTGGTGTATCAATTACAACAAAGGCATTATACCAATGCAAGGAAAACGGGCGGCGGTGGGGGGGGGTGCGGGGGAGATGAGAAAGGAAGTGTACAAGGACTCTACTTTCTGCCCTATAGATCTAAAGTGCTCTAGAAATATATAGTCAATAAATGAAAATAAATATTAAATAAATGAAAGAGTGGGAATAGAATCCAAGACAAAGAGTTCCCTCAATCAAAAGAAGACAATTTTCAAAAGTCAGTAGGCAAAGAATACAAATAGGCCACTCACCCCCAATCTGCCCCCATCCTAACCCCCAGAAGCTGAGAGTATTACGTTACAGAGCAAAAGGAATTTGTGATTATGTGATGTATAAAGAGGTAAGATAAGGAAAGTACTTTGTATTATCCAGGTGGGCCCAATCTTATCATATGGTGAGAGGGATATACAACTGTGAAAGTTAAGAGAGAAACAACATTTCTGTCTTGGAAGTTGCCCAATCTTATCATATGGTGAGAGGGATATACAACTGTGAAAGTTAAGAGAGAAACAACATTTCTGTCTTGGAAGATGCAGAAAGGAACAGCACCCAGGGAATGTTGAAAAGCTTCCAGAAATTGGAAAAGGCAAGTAAATCAACTCTACTCTAGAACTTCCAGAAAGGAACACAGCCTGCTTGATACCTTCATTTTAGCCCAGAGGGACCTTGTTAGACTATTTAAAGTCACTAGGTTTGTGGTGATTTGCTAAGCCAAAGAAAATCTATATTATCTATCTATCTATCTTTATATGTGTGCCCCATACATACTATATAAAAAGTGGATGTGTATATATACATATATAGTATATATATATGTGCATACTTTATACATATATGTGTATATATACTAAATATGTATATATAAAGTTCTTACATATACAAAATTATATATATATATATAAACTTTTTACATATATATAAAGTTCTTCATTACCTGTGCTCAGGTTGGTGGCATTACTGCCATCAATAATGGCCCTATATACATCAAGTTAAGCTACTCATTAGCTAGCTGAGGCAAAATTGGAACAGACTGTTTTGAAAGGAGTGAGGTGGGCAGGTATAGATGAAGGTTGCTTCCCCTTCCTCAACTTCCCACAGTCCAGCTAGAATAAGAAGTCAGGGTTTCTATCATTTCAAGACAGTCGACTGAAAAACTAAGGCTGGACATAAGTGGGAAAACAGAATATGAGGCATGGTTCCTGTGACATCCTGGATGAGAACTACTGCAAAAATTGTCATCTATTATCACATACTTGTAAAAAGGAATCTTGCTTTCCTCCTTTCTTTTATCTATCTCCCATATGCCAGTCAGAGAATAGGACTTTTCTCTCTTTAGTACTGACTTTGAAACAAGCTATCAAAGAAACTAAGTTGCATGCCATCAAGGCACTGATGTTCCAAATTCTCTCCTTGGTCTTGGCTTCATAATAAAATACTCATCTGACTTCCATGAGTTTGAATCAGATGGAAGAATTACATGACAGATAATTAAATACATGCAATAAAACTAAATCATAAAAACATATAGATATGAAGTAATTAGGTTTTATTAATAGCTTATTTTTTTTTACTATCATGTATGTCTGCTAAGAGATTAGTATTATATACTAAAAGCTATATAACAGGAATGTTATGGTTAAGGTAATTATAAATATTACTGCAGAGCACATAACATCATTTAATAACTGACCACTGGTTACTAACTTGCATAAGTTACTCATGAGTTTCTTTTTTGTATGATCTATCCTATTATAGTTAATTTGTGCAGAGAATCTAATATTATGCAGTGCTCTGTACAGTGCTCTAATTATACCACAACGCCATACAATTAGCACAACAGCTAGGCTGAGTTTTAAAATAATAGAATACTATCAGTCCTTCATTGAAAAGATATTGTGTTCTAACACAATCTAGTATTAGATAAACTACTCTCTCCAAAGATTTGCTTATTAGTTATTTTAACACATGAAACAATCTAAGAATACTTCTCAACACAATCCTAAGAACTAATGCTATATAACTGTAGACTTACAGAAGCAGCATGGTAACATTCTTGAAGAAATAAATTATAAAACTTACCTATTACTACCATAGGCAAAGTCACTGATGAATCTTCAAGTAAAGAAGTTTCTTCAACTAATGGCATCGCTTTAACTTTTTGCCCCAAATTATCACCAAAATATTGCACTAAGGAATTAAAAATCTCTCCTTCAGTTTCGGTGTCACTATAGTTTCTTAAAAAACAAACACAGAACAAAAACAAGAAAAATAGAGTCAATACAGTCTATAAAAATCAGTTTTCACTCAGATTTTATTTAGGACATAAAATATTCAAAGTTACATGAAGGGAGAAAATGAAATCTTTTTGATTAAAGCTTTCAAATCAGCAGCCTAGCTACTACATGTCATCATATATACCATCTTGAAGGTCAGAAATAAATAGTTGCTAATATGTCTTTAGTCAAGTCTAGGTAAGAGAGGAACTAAATAAGCTGCCTTTAATGAACGAAGAAGCAGAATGCTGGGGAGTTTTATAATTCTCTGAGACTTCCTAGGAATGGTTACTTTTTCTTTTACTTTTTCTCATTAGTAAAAAGGTTAGTGTATTAAAAGCAGTACATTGGGGAAATAAGCTCGCATATTTAAAGTTACTTAGATAATTCAAATTTTACTTATATACTTACTACAAACTACGCATTTTGGTTAAAAAATGAAGTTTATAAATCTTATTAATTCCAAGGAAATGAAATATAGAAAGATCTTCACGATTATTCCCAATCTATTTCTTTCCCAGTTGCCTCCCTAGAAACTAGTTTTAGCATTCTGACATGCTCATGCAATAAATGGTATATCCTCCAAACACAGTCAATGTTTTGCATTACACTAGGATTACTTCAGAATAGAATCCTTGAATTATTTTCATCTTCATATTGTCAGTGTCTAGAAATATTATATTGGATTAGTGTGCTTATTACTATTCCCAAAATGATAAACAAGGGATGGATCATGTATTCACAGGACTTACTGGTCATGCAGAATAAATGGAAAAAATTAGGCAGAAAGTGAAATTTCTGCTTCAGAGAAATTAAGAAACTTTCAGTTTCCAATCTACCCAGGATAATGCAGAGAGAGTACCCCAGGATACACTGACAGCTTTATAGAACTAAAGAATATTTGACCTCTTCCCCTAAGTCTTGGCCAGAATAATTAGCTTTCAGGATATGGACACTAAGGTAAGTCTCTCTTCACAGAGCAAATTTGCTCCTGGAAGAAAGGCCATCCCTTTCAGATCATTCTAAACTCTTATCAGATCAAAATGTACCAGTTGTCTTGCCTGCTTCTCATTCTTGGGAAATGAATTCAACATGAGTATTATCCTCAAGCCTATCCTTGCTATGTACAGGTTCCCTAAATGCCTTTGAATGCTTGTGACCAAAGTCCTTTCAGATAATCCGGCCTGATTAATATCATTATCTCATCTTCAGCCTCTCCCAGACATCCTTACCACAAACACTGTTGCTTCCATGTATGTAACCTGTGAAATCTAATGAAATGACCACCACCTCTATTTTTTTTTTGGTAATTAAAAAGATGTTACCTTTGTGAAAGCTTAACATTTCAGCTTTAAAAAGTGAGAGATGCTTGATGTTAAGAATCAATTTCAGGGCCTCCCTGGTGCCGCAGCGGTTGAGCCCTGGGTTGCGAAGCTGCCAGCAGCCTCTGCAGCCCCGGTTCGATCCCCGGCTGCTCCCCCGCCACCGGAGGAGGGTTCCACAAAGGGCGCAGACCTCTCCTGCCGCCCGCTGCTCCCCTCAGCAGTGTACTTTGGTTCTTCTGCCTGTTCTGCTCCCCGCTCTGGCTCTGGTGAATTCTCTCATCCTCCCACGCTTCTGACTGTACCCAGTGCTTGTATAAATAAATAAATAAATCTTTAATTAAAAAAAAAAAAAATCAACTTCAGAGTATATGTATATATATAATTATATTTAGGAAGCTAGACTACTTAATTATGATATCCTATACATTCTAAAAGCAAACTGATGACCCTTAAGAGGACTGAATTAAGGCATTTTACTAGTTACTGGCATATTTGACTTTATAAGCAGAACTCAACGATCTAAAATGCCCTGACCAGTTTCTTAAATCTACAAATAAATGCTGTAAAATAAATACTTAATATTCAAATTCCTTAAGAACATGCAAACCACAGAAATAAGTATAAACTTAAATTGCAAATCGTTTTTGCTTAAATGTACTGTAGAACTCAATTTCTGTATAACTCATTAAAAGGCACTTAGTATTCTATGTATCTCAAGTAAACTTTGTCTGGCAAGTCTCAGTATTTTATTACAGCTATCAATCCTTCTGACTATATATTTTATAAGCAAGTTCCTTGCATTACACTGGACTTTGTCATTTCTAACAACTGGTTTATACCAGAAGAAAAAACTTGGGCTGGTAAGACAATTAGAAACAAAATATCTTCCCTGTGGAATCAAGACAAACAGCTTTCAAGAGCTCAAAAACAGCAGAAGACAAGTCATCTGATCAGGCCCTACACCAATGTAAAATTAACAAACCATTAGATATAATTTACCTCTCATAAAAGCCACCCTTTAAAAAGTATACAATTCAGGGGTTTTAGGATAGTCACAGGCTTTGCAAACCATCACCATTAATTCCAGAAAAACTTTATCTGCCAGAAAATAAATACTGTACCTATTAGCACTCACTCCACATTCTTCACTACCCTTAGTTACCGGCAACCACGACTCTACTTTCTCTTATTGGATTTGCCTATTTTGGACATTTCAGATAAATGGAACCCCTCATAAAATATGTGGCCTTTTGTGTCTGGCTTCTTCCACTTAGCATGCTTTCAAAGTTAATCCATGTGGTAGGATGAATCCATTTTCTCTATAACACTATTTACTCATGGACATCTGGGTTATTTCCACCTTTTTGGCTATTATAATAATGGTGCTATGAATATTCATGTATAAATTTTTATGTGGATGTCTCCATTTCTCTTAAGTGTTCTTAAGAGTAACTATAATGGTTGGGCCTAAACTCAATGTTTGACATTTTAAGGTTTCCAAAGTGGTCGCAACAGTCTACGTTCCCACCAGCTATATGAACACTCCAATTTCTCAATTTCCTAACATTTGTTCTCTTATTTTGACATAGTAGCATGTATGAAGTATATTTCATTGTAGTTTTGATTTACACTTCCTCAATGACTAATAATGTTGTGTTTTTTCAAGTGCCTATTGGCCATTTGTATAATTTCTTTGGAAAAAGTCAAAATGTCCATTTTTAAAATAGGGTTTGTTTTTATTGTTTGAGATTTTTCATACATACTGGATACAGTTCCTTTTTAGACACAGGATTTGGAAGAAATTTCTTCCTTTCTTTCTCTTTTCAATCACAAAATTTAAAATTCTGATCAAGTCCAATTTATTATTTTATGTGGTGTACACTTTTGATGTCATATCTAAAAAAACACCGATTAGTTGAAAGACACAAAGATTTATTCCTATTTCTTGTTCTCTTCTATAGTTTTATAGTTGTGATATTTAGCTCTTTCATCCATTTTGAGATAATTTTTGTATAGTGTATGAGGTAGAATTCCCACTTTGTAGATATCTACTTGTGACCATTTGTAGAAGAAACTGATTATTTCTCTTTGGTCTCAAGATGGATAACCAACTAACCATAAAAGGATTTACTTAGAAATGCTCTATTCTATTTCAGTGATCGGTATGTCCTGAACTCTTGTGTGCCTTACATCCCTTTTGCAATCTGGTGAATCCTCTTCAAACCATATTATTAAGTGTATAATATATATAGGATTTACAAGGAAATCCAACACATTAAAATACTGATATAAAAAGTAAATTTGTATATTTATACTTCTCTATTAAATAGTAAAGCTGCTTTTAAATAGTCTTTCTATTTATCTGCAACTGTAACATGAACTTTTTTTTAATTTCTGTTGGCAAAGAGTCAAAAATACCATGATTTATCATATTCAAAATTGATGGAAATATCAGGTTTTGGTTAAGGTTTAGCAAAAATACTTTACATTCATCCTCAAAGGCAGCTAAATTCTATGATGGCAATTTAAAAATTTTAACGAGTCTTATTTTGCAAAAAAAATTTTATATGTGGTTACTCTACTATATAAGTATATATAAAAAGCGAGATACTTTTCTAAAGTTTTCCTATGCTTAACATTTCTCCACCAAAGAGTTAAAGCCAGTTAGTTTCAAGCGCCTTTTGGTTTCTCTCTCCATAAGTGTTAGACCTAGAACACACACATTTTCAAAATGCATTCTCTTACCATCCCATCAAGGAAAAAATGCTTTCCCCATAATGAGTCTACAATCTCTATATTTTTCAAAATTCTACTACATCATCACACTTAGAACGCAATTTCGCACTTTCCTTCAATGCAGCTGTCAATAGATTTTTTTCTTTTTTTAAAGAAACGAGCCTTGTCAAGAGAGGGGTAGTCAAAGAGGGCGGAGGGCTTCGCAATCAGTCACTAAAACTTTGCACCACTTAGAAGCTCAGTTCGCCTTAACAGACTTGCTCCAGGCCTAGCGGGTCTCAAAGTCCCGTGACAGTCACGGTCCGGGACAAGGAAAAGGGGGACAAGGCAGGCGAGCTCCCCGGAGCGGAGTCCTCCAGCCGGGCGGCCGGGGCGGGGGCACCCGGACCTGGCAGCCAGCGGGAGGACACAGCGGCCCCGGCGGGGCGGGACGCGGCGGGAGGCCGCTGAGGTCTAGGCGCTCGCCCCCCACCCCCGACCCCGCGCCCGGGCTCGTCTCCCACTCCGGACCCGTCTCGAAGCCACCCCTCCCCGGCCTCTACCTGCCCGGCCCGGCCCGGCCCGGCCTCGGGGCCGCAGCGCCTCCACCCGCCGCCCGCCGCCTCCCCTCCCCGGCAGGGAAGTCACCTGAGATGCCCAGGCAGGGAGCAGCGGCAGCACCACACGGGCATGGAGCGCCGCCCGCGGGGCGTCCGAGCGCGACCGCCACGGCCGCCGCCGCCTCCAGCGGAGCTGCCCGTTCCGGGCGCCCGCCCGCCCGCTCGGGGTCGCGGGGTCCGCGGGGCGCCCGCGCCCCGCGTCTCGCCGCCGTCGCGCTGCCCGGAAGCTGCAGTCGCGCAGCCCGCCGGTCCCCGGCGCGCACAAGTCCGCCTCAGGACAGCGGCTTCCGCTCCTCGCCGGCGCGAGCCAGACGCCGGCGGCGGACGAGCTCCGGGCGCCGCGATGGGGGCGGGGCGGGCGGGGCGGGGCGGGGACGCTGCGCCGGCTGCGGCGGCGGCGCGCGGGCTCCTCCTCGCAGGTGCGGCGGCGGCGGGCGAGGCCCAGGATTGGTGGAGCCGCGGCTGGGGCGAGGCCGGGAGTGACGGAGCGGCGGCTGCGCGGCCGGGGGCCGACGGCTGAGGGCCGCCCGGTCGCTGAGCGGGAGGCTTCGGGGCGGTTACCCGGGACGGCCGGCCGGTGCCCCCCACTTGCGCCCGGCACGCGCCTCGAGGCGCCGGCGAGACCGGGCTGAGAAGCAGCGGGAGGGCCGGTGGCGCGGGGAGGAGGAGCGGCCAACCCGGGATGGGGGACGGCGCGGGGAAACCCTGTCGCGTCGTGCGGCCTCCGCGACCCCTTCAACGTGGTGTCGCCCGGGAAGGCCGAGATTCCCGTCCCGGGAGCCCGACCCGAGCACCTTGCCTGGTGCTGGCTCGGGTGCGGATGCCCGAGGCCGCCCCGCGCTTACCGCTGTAGACCCCGCCTCACAACTTGGGGGGCTCGCGCAAGCACAGGTGCCCGGCCCCGCCCCCCGTGGTTCAGATTATGGGTGTCCGGCTTACTGAGTGGGGCCGCCTCCCTTGTTTTAAGTAAGTGGCTCACAAACACCCTGGGAGATTGCGAATCCCCTGCTTAGCTTGTTGAAACTTCTGGTGCTCAATCCCGCCTCAGTCTGTTTCGGGGCTCGGAAAGGGCAGCAACGAGTGTTTTAAAAGTTCCCTCAAGTGATTGTGATGCAAGAAAAGCACCGAGTAATGTATCCCTATTCGGTGTTTGTCCAAAAAAAGGGGGGAAAACCTAGGAGAGGGGATTGCATAGTCTGTTCAAAAGGCTTTCTAAGCCCCTCTCCCATAAAAGCCCCGCATGTTTTCGCTGTTTTAAGTTTGTTTTTTAAGTTTGTTTTTTTTTTAAGTTCTCAAGTTTTTCTGAATGTTGTTATTGAACAAACTTGCACTTAGGTATTTTGTCCTCAATTTTTGCCAGCCATTTACATATCTATAAATTTGGGGGTACGTTTTCACACCTCCATTTGTGCCCATGCTTCAGTCACCCTCCACCAATACATTTAGCAGGTATTTTAGATTCTGCGAAGCTTATAGCAAAATTGTAGGACTCAGCCTGCCACCAGAATTATAAGAGAGTATACATACCATTTTATTTATCTCTTTTTTGGATTGTTGACATTTTGCACATTCATTTTACTTTATATTGTTTCAGAAAGAGAAGCTTGAAATTGCTTTTCTATTAACAATCTATTAAAGGATCTAAATTCTTGAAACCTATACCAATCCGGAGAATTGAAATATTTTAAAATACAGGGATGTTTATAAAGACTGCAATTTTTTCCTTTGTGTCTTCACTTTGCGTTTTCTTACAGTATTTTCAGATTAAATTATAAAGTGGGCATATCACATTTTAGGCTTATTCTGCTTTGTAGTTAAATCTCTTAAATTTAATTATTTATGCTTGATAGTGACACGTTTATAATCTGGCCCCAATGACTACAAAGGGATTTTTAGAAAATAGGGCATATCATTTTTGTATTTTTATTCTGAAATTGTAGGTGAGGGTAATGTATAATCCCCCCACCCCCCACATAATAGCATCTCCATCCTTTTTCAGTGGAACTTAGAGTAGGAACTGCCAGTCCCTGAGAACTTTTGGGCTTCTAATGTTGCCTGGTTAAAGAATTCTGAATATTTCTTGTTGGCATTGAGTTTTTCAGCATTTTACATTAAATTATAGTATAGAAGCTAAGAGAAATTCTGTTCTAGAATTATCACTGTGCTGTGTGATCTTGGGCAAGTTAGCATCTCTAAGCATTGATTTCTCATCTATAAAATAGGGAAAATAGAACTTCATTTGATTGTGAATATTAAATAGGAAAACACAAAGCACTTAGCACAGTGTCTAGTTATGTTAATCATGGAATAAATGTTAATTTTTATTATCAATAATAATGTTGTAAATATTTTGACATTTCCTAAAAGCAAATTTCTAGAATGGATTAAATTTTGCTCCTTCCCGCAAATTCATGTGTTGAAGCCCTAAACCTGCAATATGACTTTTTGGATATAGGGCTCTAAAAAGGTAATTACTGTTAAAAGTGAAGTCATAAGAGTAGGGTGCTAATCCAACACGCTGGTACCTTATAAAAAAAGGAGCTCTCTTTTTCCACCAGGTGAGGACATAGAAGGGGGAAAACCTGGAAGAGAGCTTTCAACAGGAACCAAACTGGCAGACTTCCCAGCCTTCAGAACTGTGCTAGAAACAGGTGAATTTTATAAACTAGGCAAATTTGTTAATGGACCATTTTACATGTTGTTGGTAGTATAAAAATCAATTCTGGAAGGTCTAGAAAACATTATAGAAAAACAGTTCCTCCTTTATTGAAGTTCTTTTATGTTCAGATACCTTTAAGATTTTGTATCCTAAAACCCATCAAAGCTTTTTGATACAGTGAATACCTCTTATTTAACTATTAGTTTGGAATTTTCATTAGTTCAGTAGTCTGTCTAGATGGCAAATAGTAGGAATACTTCCATGACTACACAGAAAATTGAGGACAAAAACTGGTGCTGGGAATTGAAGATGAAGTTTGATTTTGCAATTTTGAACTAAGGGGACAAAGAAAAGCACCAAGGAGTATACTTTGTTTTTGTGGAATTTGTTTTTGTGGAATATTTTAACAGGTTCAGTTGCAGAGAACAGAACTCATAGAATTCACAATTGACAAGAAAAACAATAATTCCTTATAAGGTATTACATGTCTTGAAAAATCATAGGCGGGCTTAAGAAACAAGGAAAACTAAGAAAAGTACCCAGTTACTCTGGAAAGATAGGTCACCAAGGGAGCTGCTGCCCATTTGTGATCAAGATATTGCCTGCCAAGTCACAAACTTGTGCTGCTGACTCCAGAACTATATCTGACAGGCAACACTTTGTTACCTTCCTCTCTTTACTACAAAGTGAAATGCAAGAGGTCAGAAGCAGTTGTCAGAGACAGAAAATATGAGAGAAAAGACAAGTCGCACAGAATAAATTTGAGGTTTTCAACATGAGAAGTTTCAAAGATAGAGAAAATGGTTGCATGAAACTTACTGTACAAGAAAAATTTTTTTGCTGAATTAAAGGGAAACATTAATGTGCAGTGTAACAGACCTGAGTACTGGGTAGGCAAACATCTATATATAGGTATATCATAAAATTTAAGGATAGCAGAATAAAAATTCTAAAGGATTCCTTATAGCAGGTACAGATCCTCTGTAAAGAAATCAGACTGGCAGTAAACTTCTCAGTAGCAGGCTGGGTGTTAAGAAACAATGCCCTGAAAGTTCCAAAGGGAAAGCAATTTGAACTTGAAATTCTGTACCACAGAACTATGGATAGAATATTGGAGCAGAATAGAGAAGGAAATTAAATAGAAAGCTTTAGCTTCCAATGCTTTTTTTTTTTTTTTTAACTGTTACTTGAGAATGTCAAAACAAGAACATTATCCAAGAAATTGGAGCTAATTGTGTTATGGAACGTAAGGGGTTCGTCACGTGACTGGTGTTCCTCAATTCACCAGGCCAGGTCATAGACTCCTGGCAAAGAGAATTTATTTAAATCAAGTAGGTGGAGGGAGAACTCCTATGGTATCAGCTTGCTTTTCTAAAGGGAGTTAAGATTTTTCTAAGATTGTTTGTACTTGGCTAGAATGGAGGGCAGGGAGAATTTCATAATCTTGGTTGTGCAGGATGAGTGTAATTTCATGACTAGATTATCCCTCTTCCTGGGTTGCATGTTTGGAAAATAGTAGCCAAGCACCCCCTTGAACAGTGATTTTATTATGTAAATGAACCTTAAGTGATGTTTGGTCTTGAGGGTTTTTTCTACTTGTTTTGTTAACTGTAATAGTTTGGGCTGAAATGAGCATTTAACCCCTAGTTAAATAGCACTAATGATTTGTCCTGAATTTCCCCCCATTTGCTTTGTAAACCTTCTGTCTTCTAAGTAAGTTGCACCTGTAAACAGTAGAACTAATTCAGAAAAACAATGACAAGTCTCAGGAAATACAGGAACTTAAGAGAGAACCTACTCTAATGATTCCTTTACAGTGGATAATTCAAGACAAAAGTCCAGGAGGTGTGGGAGTGCATGGCAAAAAAGAATACAAAAAGCCAAATACAGTCACAGAATACAACTTGTTAGGGCAATGAACATTGTTTATATAAACATTTAAATATTGTCTACTGATTTTCAAATGTATAGCCAACCTATAGTCAAAGAATCCCATAACTATGCTTAGATAACAGTGAACCATGATAATGTGAAAGGGAACGAGAGACTTGAAGAGGATGGGATGTTAAATTCATATTTGACATATTTGACATTTCTGTTTCAGTTTAAACAGAAAATAAAGATTTATATTACTTAGCATTACCAATGTAATGAATAGAAAACTAATAGTTGTGATATAATTTAGGTGCTGCAGGAGGGGAAAAATGGGAAAGGGAATTCAGTAAAATCCTTACCTTACATTTCTACATTCAGAATTAGCAGCCTAAGCATATTACTTAGAGATAGGTGGGTAACAATGACATAAATGCTTTTACCCTCTAGGGAACAAGATTGGAGGGATTGGGTAAAGATGGTTTGAAGTTTGTTGCTTGTTTGTGGTCAGCTCGTTTGAATTAATTCCTTCATAAAATGTGCTAACCACACATAAATGAAAAGAAG